TGCACAGCCCTAATGGGAGCTGCTGCTGTGGATCAAGCAGGGCCCTGAGCTCAGGAAGACCTGGCCCCCTCTGACTCTGCCGTGTGACCTTAGGCAAGTCCCTCCCCTCTCTGAGCCGCAGGCCCGCTCATTATAAAAGGGGCCCCTAGTGATCAGAGCATCCTCAGAGTCCTGGTGTGATTGGTTGATACTTGGAAGGAGCAAGAGAGTCAGGCCCTCTTTGAGGTGAACCTGGGCAGACATCACTGACTCTGGGCCCTCCCACTACTGCTCAGCCCGGGGGTCAATTTTAAGGGGAGCCCCCCGATGTGGCTTATACCGCAGGGAAAACCCCTTTAAAGAGAATTTTAAATAGGCAGCCAAAGGCGTTTCCACAAATTTTTAGGATAAAACTAGCGTTTGAACATCCATAGCTCTAGATCTCCTTGTTTCATCCATGCAGCGCCATGCGAAGCTGTGTTACCAGCCTCATTTCATGGGCTCAGAGAGGTTGAATGGCCAGCCCAGGCCACACAGCATGTCCATGTCATCATCTAGGCTGAGGATTCCAAACCCCAGCTTCTTCCTCCACCACCTCTGTGTGTTTCATAAGATCTAAGGCCTGTGGGATCAACAGGCTGGTCCTTGTTCAGTGGAAGCCCAGCTGTGGGCGGGCCCAGCCAGCTGTCAGAGGGACTTCTTTATTCTGACATACTGATTGCACTAGTAGAACTCTCAGTGAGCGTGGTTTTAACTGGTAATTACCTAGACTGATGTGGGGATTAGACACCTAGCAGGACTCTTTTCTTGTTTGGAGGCCCAGGCCCCAGGCCCCTGAGCCACATGGAGTCTAATAGCAGAGTCGCTGTGCTGTCAGCTCCCACGCCCCGGCTCCCACACCTGCTGCCTCCTGCTCCACCTCTCCTATCGGCCTCATCTGGCTCCTGGGAAGCCAGGCCTGGTGCCGGTCAGGTCCCTGACCATCAGTGGCAGTTTGTGGGACCCAGTGGCCATGAACTTGTCACAGGCCTCCAGCACATGGTCCAGGCCTTCTGTCTGAGCAGATACGTCTGGAGCCCATGTCATGATGGACAGTGCCTGTGTTAGGAGGCCAGGGCTGTGGTCAGAGCTGGTGGCCCTACCTGGCCTGTCTTGTCAATCTCATCCATGTAGAATCTTGGCTTCCCATGGCCGGGAAACTGTAATGGGGACAAATCGATATCTACGTGGGGAAGACAGCCTGCCTCTGGTGTCACCTGGGCTCAGCGAGGGGAGAGAAGGCAACACCAGCGTCTTGTCCTGTCGGGGCTGCCATGGATTCCTCCACCTCCTGGGTCAGGCTCCTTCTCTTCTCTGGGCCTCTGGTCTCCCGTCCAGTCTACAGTGATGGTGTCAGAAAAACGAGGGGCCTCCCAGCTCTGGCCCTGAGGCTCTGTCGGTGGTACCTTCTCACAACACGACCCCATTCCCTCTGCGCACGGGTGTGACTGGCTGCACCTCGGGCATCTCAGGTCGACCCAGCCCCTCCTGAGGAGCAAAGAGGCAGGAAGGACCAATTCTGTTCCTCCTGAATCCTCCACCTCATGTGAGCAGGTGACAGGTGCTCCTCTTCCAGATTGAGAAGCAGGCAGGAACAGCACTGCAGGCAGAAGTCCAGCCAGAAACGAATGGAGCCATCTTCACTTTTGTCCTGACCCTTCCCTGCACCAGACTGATTTTTTCTTGGGTCTCAGGTGACAGAGGTGTTGACAAACAGGCTGTTGTATTGGGGAGAGGCGGGCTTGCTGGGAGTGGGGGATCTGGCCCAGGTCCTGCTCAGCCCTGTGACCTTGAAGGGCTGACTCTTTACCTCCATGAGCCCCAGGCCACTTTCTTTGGTTCTTCACTGGGGAATTCTTTCATTTTTTTCCACTAATTCACTCAACAAATGGTCATGTGGCACCTGCTCTGTGCCACACAGTTGTAGTTACTGAGATATGACAGTGAACAAAGCAAAGTCCCTGCCCTGGTGGGCCTGGCCTTGTAGTGGGAAAGACAAGTGACAAACACAGGAGCCACGGAGGTGGCTGTCAAGTCTAGACAGTGACCCCCCATCTGGACACAGGAGGGATGGACAGCGGGGAGGAGACAGGACGGGGCTCAGGGTTCTGACCTGGTACCCAGACAGAGTTTGCATCTGGACTCTGCCGCCTCCTCTCAGTGTGATCTGGACTGTCCAGTCCACCTCTCAGAGCCTCAGTTTCCTCTTCTGTAAAATGGAGATGCTCACGGTACCCACGGTAAGGGGCTGCTCAGGGACCATGTGAGATGACACCCAGGGGTGACCTCAGCCCAGACCTCCACATCTGTCCCTCCACTGCCATCTCATAGCTCCTGTCACATGTGTGTTAAGGAGAAGAATGAGGCTCAGAGATGTTCCTTGATTTTCCCAAGGCCACACAGCAGGTGGGCTCCCTGCCTGTACAGCCTCTGCTCTTCTCCTACGTAGAAGCTGCCTCTCCACCCGCCCGAGGCCTGGCCTATCATTAGGTCCAGTAAGGGCCTCTGAACCGGACTGGACTGTGTACGTTGTAAACTGAGAATCCTGTTTTTAAAGTGTCTATTGTTTGGGGGTTTACAGAAATAACACATGCTCATTATGCAAAATTCAGACCACACAGGCACTTATGACACGAGTGCCCCGGGAGTCCTACCAGCCAATCCCCTCAGGCAGCCACCTTCTCATTCCTGTCACCACACGTTCATTTGGCCTGTTCTTTGAAGTTCATGTGAATGGAATCATACAGTGCATAGTCTTGTGTGTTATACCCTCTGCATATTTCACTCAACATAATATTGTTGAGATTCACCCACGATGTTGTATCTGTAGTTATTTTTTATACGTAAATGAATTGTATTGCGTTGCATGACCACACCACCTGGATCCATTCTTACTGATGGACACGTGGCTTGTTTCTGGTTTGGGTTATGAATAAAGCTGCTCTGAGCATCCTTGGACTCACCCCTCCGTGGCCGTATCAAACCGGGTGCTCATCCTGACTCTGCCACTTGGGAGCCGTGAGACTTTACACAGGTTCCTTTTAGATTAGAGTCTCTGACCCTCACTTCCTCACTCCTAAGACACCTTTAAGGTGCACGAGGCCTACCTTCCGGGTTGTGTAGGACTAAGCGAAACGTGGAGTGAGGCCAGCTGGATGCCCGCCTCACGGTCGGAACTTCATAGATGGGAGCTGGTTGATACATTAGTCCTACTTCAGTGCCTTTGCTCATGTTAGACCCTCTGCATAGACTACACTCACCTCCATGTCTGTTTTTAAAGCGGGTAGACAGGGGTTTCCATAAACCTGACTCTTCCCAGCCCCACTCCTCCCAAAGAGCCAGGCTCCTTCCATGGTTAGAGCCCCCATGCTTCCTGGTTGTTAGTCACTTTCTGCCTGTAGATCAGGGGTGTGTCTACCCTCTTTATCCTCCTCCCCAGGAGACCCTGAACCACCTGGGAGCAGGGACCAAATCTGACTCTTCATGTTCCCTCCTGCCCCCTCTGCCATCTCTGTGGGCAAAGGTGAAGGAGAGGAATTCAGCGGGAGGCGGGGCCGGGACCCGGGGAAGGAGCCTGGCCTGGCGGTGGGGAGAGCAAGGCCAGCCCGCTCTGTCTTTTCAGAAACTGACAGTGGGTGCAGCATTTCCCTGGGTCCTCCCCTGGGATCCCAGGTCCCTGCAGTGTCCTGCTTGGAGGGGGGTGGCTGCAGCAGGCATCTCAGGGCACCTGTTGACAGAAGAACCTTGAAGACAGGTGCCCCGTCCCAGTGTTTCCGCCCAGAGGAACCCAAGGCCACTCACTTTATAGCAGCTCGAGTCTGAGAGTCCATGTGAAGGACCCTTACCTGACCTGTGACCCCTGGCAAGTCTCTGACCTTCTGGGCCTCAGTTTCCCCATCTCTGCAGGGTTGCCCTGAAGGCTTTTGCAGCTCTGACCAAAGAATGCGCCCACCCCCTGCCTCCCGATGGGGGCTCCTCCAGGGGCGAGCACAGAGTGGAGGCACAGGCGGCCACCTCCTCAGGGAACACATTCCCCGCGGGAGGAGTGTCCCCGAGATGTGACCACATCTTTCTGGGAAACGCCCACAGTTCAGTGCTTTCCGGGTCTGAACTGGAGGACTCGCATCCCCCTGGCTCACATCCCCTTGGATCTATTTTTGGCCTTGGCAGGCTTGATGTGGTGGCGTGTGCGGTGCGCCCTGTAATTTGGGGTCTGAAGCCGGCTGAGGTCCGGACGGGTAATTATGTGAGCAGAGCCATTTATGGAAAGAGCTCTGAAAAAGTCAGTAATGAGAACTGAGTAAAAATACCGCAGCCATGCAGCCTGGGGCTCCTCTCGGCAGCGCCGAGATTTCTGGTGGGAGGAAGCCCTCAGGATGCAGAATCGATAGGTGATCAAGTCCTCGGCTCCCCCGTGGGCCTGCACCGGCCGAGGGAACCCGGGTCTGTTTTAGGTCTGAAGTGGGCCCGTCGGCCTCAGTTACCGACAGGACCAGCCAGACAGGCCCAGCCCGTCCGCCTCCGGGACCCTGAGCTGCCCTCTGCCTCGGGGCCGGCAAGTCCCACAGGAAAGTGAAACACATGCGTGGCCTCCGATGGAGACACCGTGACAGGCAGCCTCTCCCAGACCAGCAGCAGTGCCCTCGCCCACAGCTGGGGTGCTGGGCCCTGAGCCACTGTCCTGGGGACCAGGAGCCTTTGGGGGGAAGGGCCCCTGGAAGACGGGAGCTTAACAAGTGGCCTTCGTGGTGGATGGGATGATGCTCACCAACTGAGCCACACGGCCTGGGCCTCTTCCACCTCTTTACATGACTGGTCCCTTTCCTCCTCCAAACTTGACTCTTTCCCCCCTCGTTTACCAGGTTTGGGATGATGAACTGATTCCTGGCAGAGGTTCTCAGCCTCCCAGATGTTTGGCACTGTCCAGAGACAATTCGCTTGTTAGAACTCGGCAGGAGAAGGCACCTGTGGGCAGACACGGGATGCTGCTAACCTTCCGCCGCACGCAGGGCAGTCCCACAGCAGGGATCGGCCCAAAGGTGGGCAGTGCCAAGGGTGAGAAGTCGGGTCCAACGCAAAATGCTTACTGATGAGGGCGGTGAACCGATGGCTAGTCACACTGCTGCGGGTGTTATTCTCTTCGATACTCAAATTGTCCTGTTTGGCCATTACGAAGCCCCGTCAGGTTGGCTTCTGAGTGCGTGTACCTCTCCTAGGAGTTTCTGAGAGCTTCTTGCTTTCTGGTGAGATGTCCCAGGCTCTGCTCATGCATTTCCTGCCCTGGGTGGGAAATCGGCGACTCTGCCAAAGCCCCGTCCATGTGGTGCAGTGGGTCCCTGCGACTGCTCTCTGGGCGTGAGGGCTCCCACTGCCCCTGCGTGGCCATCGTTTCTAGGCGTTTTCAGTAGGCAAAGCTAGGGAATATGTGTTTTCTATGAGGAAAAAAATCATGACCTCAAACTAATATTTCCAATTCAAATTTAGGATTTTAGGTTTTACTTATATCTTTTTTAAAAATATTTTTTTATTGATTTCAGAGAGGAAGGGAGAGGGAGAGAGAGATAGAAACATTCATGATGAAAATCAAGAATAATTGATTGATCGGCTGCCTCCTGCACGCCCCCTACTGGGGATTGAGCGAGCCTGCACCCCAGGCATGTGCTCTTGATCGGAATCCGAACCCGGGACTCTTCAGTCCGCAGGCGGACGCTCTATCCACTGAGCCAAACCTGCTAGGATGGTTTACTTACATCTTAAATTTTGTATTTCTATTTTATTTTTACATTACATTACAATACATTAACATATTGTTTACTTTGTTCTACAATTTGATGTACTTGGAAGGAGACATCACTTCTGTGGCATTCTTCTCCAAAATCCATCATTTCAACCGTATCTAATAAGAAAGCATCAGATAGACTCACAGGGAGGGACATGCAACAAAGGGTCATGTCATGGAAGACAAGGAAAGACAGCAATTGTTACAGAGGACAAAACAACTAAATGCGCTGTGGGATCCTGAATTGGCTCCTGGAACAGAAAAGGCACATTAGTGGGAAAACTGGTAAAATGCAAGAAAAGTCAATATTTAGTTCATGGTATTGTACCAATATCAATTTCCTGGTTTTGGGAAGTATACTATGGTTTGCTTGTGTAAGGTGTTATCACCAGGGGAAGCTGGGCAAAGAACATATAGGAAGTCTGTGTACTGTTCTTCCAACAACTTTTCTCTAAATCTAACTAATCTAAAACTATTACAACATAAAGTGAGTCCCACCCCCCCACCCCCGTCCTGTCCCCAATGCCACCCATATCCTTCACGGCGCTCATCACATACAGTGACTATGTTTGTTTACTTTCGTGTTTGCTACCTGACTTCCCGCCCACTACACACTCGCTGGCGGCCGGCTGGTCCAGCTTGTCTGCAGTTTCCCCAGGCCTAGCGGCTCGCATTCAGTAAGCACTGCTTTCAAACATGTCAAATGAATGAATGAATGAATGAATGAATGAATATTCCTGGATGTGACCAGGAAAGAGCGAGTGCTCTTAGAAAGCCTCCAGTGCATGAGAAGGCGGCATAGTCAGAAGTCTGTCACGTGCCCAGAGGGGAAATTAGGTGCCCCCCAGATTTTGCAGATGGGGGAAATAATTTACTGCCCAGAAACCTAGCTCCAAACGCAGTGGTTCCCGTCCCCCACCAGTGCCACCACGGAGAGAGGACTCCTGGCAGGACATACTCAGGTGGCCAGGATCCAGAACAGAGGCCAGGCAGGGAGCACCCCCTGCCCAGCCCATCTGAACCTGCCAGGGGACCTGAAATGAACTTTGCAACCCCACAATCAGCAGCAAAATTGTATACTGGGAAAGCCCGAGAAATCACGTACAGACCTTGGCTTTTCCCGTAAATTCCCTCTGAGGATCATCAAGCAATAGCAGCAGGGTGGGGAGCAGCCACGGGCCAAGTCCAACAAGGGTGGGGGCGGCCCCCTGCAGTGGAAGGAGCCCACACAGGTGAGAACGTCTGGGTTCCCTCTCCGTGTGTGGAAACGTGGGAGCAGAGTGTGTGGCGATCTCTGCCCTTTGAGCTTGATGTTGAGGGTCTTCAGCACTTTCATGAAGAAAGGGTCCGTTTCTGCTTTGTGCCTGAGCCAGAATTGGGGCGATGGCCCCAGGGCATTGCTGAGGGGCCACCTCCCCGGGCCTGGGCGTCTTTGGGAGACTCCAGACCCTGGTGATGGGGAAGGTGGAGGCTGCGCATGAAGAGATACCGGAAAGGGAATACTCTTGAACAATGTGTTAGAAGTACTTGCTGGACCATCACCGATAAAGAACTGAAGTAACTTTACTATACTTTAAAGCCGGCTATAGTAGCAAACCTGGCTTTTGACAGTTTCATCTGACGTGGTGTCCAGTGGGCCTTTTTCAGATGTGGATACTGAGGCCCCGAGGATCAGACGCCTTGATGAAGGCCAGCCCGGAGAAGAGGAGGCACCTGGAAGCCATCCAAATGCCTCTCAGCTGAATGGATACACTGATGGTCTATAATCTTCCTTTCATACTTTTATTCAGAAACGGAAATCGAATGGCTCCATTTTCTCCCCCGGGGCTCTTGAAGCCCCTGATGGTGCTGGCAGGATGTTGTCCCTTTGATGCACCAATTAAGTTCAGAAATGGCAGGCCAGCACCCGTCCCTGCCTCCTGGGGAAGAGGGGGCTCCTACCTCACCATCCCTGCCCGTTACAAAGCCCTTCACAGCCCTGCATGGAAAGGCTCCCAGTGTCCCCACCTCACAGATGAGGAGGCTGAGCCCACACAGGGAACGTGCTGGGAGGCTGGGACCAGAAGCTCCGGCTACAGGCCAGGCATCTACACTTCGCAGGGCAGGGCAGCCTGCCCAGGAACCACCACAGGGGAAACTCCAGGTCCCATCAAATACTGTTCTTCACTCAGCTTTTGAGGAGAAATATCTTCCCCAACCCAGAGGAGCAACCTCTGAAAAACTCTACATCCACAGAGTTCCAGCAAAGAGAGGGGGCACGCCCTTTGGCCAGTTACAGTAATGTCTGGTTTAATGCGAGAGCCCAGAAAGTTTTATGTTTCTGATAAAACGCATTCTTTTCCTAAAAGTTTCCCGTCTTCCCAGGCCTTGCCGGGAGCAGCCAGGGGGGCGGTTTCCTGAGCTGGAACTCCTGCTGGTTTATCAAAACGCAGGAAGGAAGTTTGGAACGAGAGTCTGTTAAAGTGAACAAGGTGCTCTTGACCCAGCAAGGGGAGGAGGCCGCACGGCGTGGTGCCCACGTGGAGCTGGCAGGTGTGCGGCTGGTTCCCTCAGTCCCCGATCCAACATGGAAATCAGCCTCAGGCCTGCAGACAGAGGCCCGGTGACCCACCCATCAGTCCCACTGTGCCTGGGGACAGATGCACATGGCGATGCTTTGAGAGGGTCCGTCCGCTGAAGGGTGTGAAGGAACGACACGCCTTCGCTCTCCGTGCCACACCCTGTGACAGCCAACAGCCTGGGCCTGTTCCGTCCCGCGGACCCGGGATTCTTACACGGCCCCGTGATGGCCTCGGTCTGTGTGGTCCCTGAATCCGCGGGAATTGTCACCAAAGTTGTGCGAGTGCGTGTGTCTGCCGAGGACCCTGCCCCCCACGCTCTCGGCCTGTGCGGAGGACCCGGTGCCGCCGGTGTCTCTGAAACAGCCTGGCTCCCCGTGGGCATTTGCTGCGTGTCCAGCTTCCTGTCTGGTGATGGACATTCTATTTCCTCTCCTCCCCGGTCTGGGAATGAAACACTCATCTCCTGCCCAAACATGTGTGTCTGCTGGCCCCACCCAGCACAGCTGTTTGCCCGGCCCTCCCTGGACCAGGTTCCCACCACGAGGACAGGACGTGCTCCCCACATCCGCCTCTGCCACCAGCCTGGTGACTTGTGGTCACTGAGCCCAGTAGCCAGAGAGAGACTCTTTAGAAAGACTCTCAGACGTGTCATTAAAATCTCAGTGTTGGGTTTGGGGGAAGGTGCTGGGCGGCTCCCGCCCCTGCTTTCCGGAAACACAGATTTTTAGTGTTTGAAAGTGACAGAAGGCTAAAGTGAGACGGCCCTAAATATACTGTCCTGGGCATTTCCGGCAGCTGGGCATGTGGGATTAATTCTGCACAAGCGGCCTCTTGCCCAAAGTATTGGACCAGGCCCCTCAACGGAGCCACCTCAGGTCCCCCTCCAGCCCATGCTTCACCCCACCTCCACGCACAGCTCCCACACCACACCCTGCTCCCTGTTGCCTGGAGCCCTGGCCACCCACTGGCCAGAGGCACAGCCATGCTCCTAGGCCGGAACTCCAACTCACCCCAGTCAGGCCACCGCCAGACTCACAGCCCGTACCCCACCCCTCTGATCTGTGGGTGGCCCTGGCCCACTCAGTCTGTGCATTCGATGTCCCCTCTGCCTAGAAAGCCCTCCCTGCCACCTCCCCACCTGCCAAGACTCCGTCATCCCATCCTTTGAGGCCAGTTCAGATGTCACCTCCTCCAGGAAGCCCACCCAGATCCCACCACACCACGGGACCTCTGACTCCCGCACTGACGGGGCCTCCCCAGGAGCTGTCACTCCCACCTTGCTTCTTGTTCCTTTCCATCTCTCCCTCTGGCCTCCCTCCTCCTTCACCTGCTCCGAGAGGACCCTGCCACCCTTACGCCCTTCGCTGTGTTTTATGGCTGTCGTCTCCCTGTCTGTGCTGTCATCTCTCAGCTCCAGGCCTTTGCTCACACCGGTCCCTTCCTCTGCCGCATTCTTGTCCCGTGACCTCGTGGTAAATTCACCATCACCCTCAAGGCCCAGCTCCAGTGTCAGCTGTGAGCGCTCACCGTCCCACGTCCATCCGCACACCTGGTGGGCTCTGAAGTGCACCCAGTCATGGCCCTGCGCCACTCGGCCTCTTCTCCTTGGGTCTGACGTCCGTCTCTCAGAGGGGGGACCTGTCCTCTCTGCTAATCTGTGGGCCCAGAGACAGAGGGGGCGGGGCCGGACCTGCTGGGTCGGAGGCTTGGGGGCAGAAATGGGAGCTGCCCTTGTTGGCCCCACTGTGCGTCAGGTGCTGTGCTGGGCACCTCACTACCGGGCTCCGGGCCTCTCAGCACTGGGGGCAGAGCCTGTGGGCAGGCCCGTTCCCCGGGGAGGAAATGCCTCTCCCAGGCTGTCCGGCCCCTGGTTCCCACGGGCCCTGCCACCCTGGAGCCCGAGCCCAGAGCCAGGAGGGAACAGCCCGCTTTGTCTTGCAGTGGAGCTCGACCGCTCCCTGGGCCACCAGGAGCCCCCCTGGAAGGAGTTCCGCTTTGACCTGACCCAGATCCCGGCGGGGGAGGCGGTCACAGCTGCCGAGTTCCGGATTTACAAGCTGCCCAGCACCCACCTGCTCAACAGGACCCTCCACGTCAGCATGTTCGAGGTGGTCAGAGAGCGGGCCAACAGGTGCCTGCCCACACCCCGCCTCCCGGTCAAACTCTGTGGGTGTGTCGGCCCAGCCCTGGGGGGACGGACGGGGGCTTCCTGGGAGCACACCCTCCAAGAGGAAGATGCTTGGCCCGAGGCCCTGGCACCCTGGCTTCTATCCCCCCGCTACTGTCCTGGCTGTGGGACCTTGGACGGGTCACCGAGCTCCCAAGCCTCAGTTTCCCCATCTGTCCACGGGGGCGGCAGCACCTTTCTACGGCAGATGCGGTGAGATGAGGCAGTGAGGCGCCCAGCTCAGGGCCAGGAGGGCCGACGCCCCAGGAGTGGTCCCCAGGTGGGCACAGGAAACATGAAGGCAGCTGTGCCGGCTTCGGTTAATTGTTCTTTCGTATCCACAGGGAGTCTGACTTGTTCTTTTTGGATCTTCAGACGCTCCGAGCTGAGGACGAGGGCTGGCTGGTGCTGGACGTGACAGCAGCCAGTGACCACGGGTTGTTGAACCGTAGCAGGGACCTGGGACTCCGCCTCTACGTGGAAACAGAGGACGGTAAGGCCGGGGGCAGGCAGCGAACCTCCTCCCGGGCTCTGGTCAGGGGTCCGGGTTGCACCCCAGCTCTGCAGCTTTCTGACTGGGACCTTGGCAGGTTACTTACCCTCCAAGCCTTCGTTCTCTCGCCTGTGGAAGGAGGATTCAGGCCTTCATCCATCCACCAGGTGTTTAGGGGCGGAGCCTCCTGTATCCCAGGCAGTGGGCACAGAAAGCCGAAGGTGGGCCCGGATCCTGTGTGACTACATCAGGGGGCCGCAGGGCTGGAGCAGGGGTCAGGGGGAGGTCGGAGGGAGAGGCGCTGAGGGAGGCAGCGGCATGCGGAGTCAGGGTGAGCCAGCGGAAGGGGTGGAGTTTTTAGGGAGCTTCTTGAATTGCACAGCAGTGGAGGGCGGCAGGGTCTGAGTTAGCTTTTCATAGAAGAGCCCTCACGGAGGTGTGGCGTCACTCCCGTCCCTAGTGTGGGCAGCCCTCGGTGACTGGCTTCCCCCGGACAGTGTGCAGGGGGAGGGGAGGGGACTGGACGGTGGGAAAGCTGACCAGCACCACCTCAGCCCGGCGACCAAGGTTCCCATGGACACGCACTGGGCTCTGTGTACCCTGGATGGGGGTGGGAGGCTCTTCTCCTCGGGGGTCTTCTCCCCAAACCCACGGCCCCGTGTCGCCATGAGAAAAACATCAGACAGACCCATCTGAAGGGCAGCCTGCAGAATGCCCGACCGGCAAGGCCATCAACAACGGGGCCGCCTGAGAACTGCACAGCCCAGAGGGCCCGAGGCGTCATGACTCCGTGCCCTTGGGGTCCTGGGTGGGTTCCTGGAGAGGAAAGGGACCCGGGGAAACGAATGAAATCGGGATAAATCATGCTGTTAAGAAGGTATCAATACCGGCTCAGTTGTGACAAATGCACCATCGTAATTGAGATTTAACATTTCCCGGGGGACACTGCGTTGGGTATAGGGGAATTCTCTGTACAAGTACCTCTGCAAGTTTTTCTACATCTCAACTGTTGTAAGTAAAAGCTTTATTTGTTGTGTGCATAAGTACACACCCTGACCGCAGCGAGATGTGTAAGCTGTGGGGGCAAGAGTGAAGCGAAGCCAGAGAGGCCCCGGCAGCCAGTGTCCGGGTGAGGGCTGGGGGGCTGGTAGCAGCAGAAATGGAGACAAGTGGGGAGAGGGATCGGGAATAAAGTGGACGGAGCCATTGGATTTGTTTTTAAATTACAGTTTACAGTCCATATGGTTTTCTATTAATTTCAGGCGGACAGCATAGTGGTTAGACAATCATATACTTTACAGTTTTCCCCAGGTATTTCCAGTACCCACCTGACACCATACATGGTCATTACAATAGTATTGACTATATTCCCTATGCTGTACTTTACATCCCGGGACTGTTTTGTAATTACCAATTTGAATTTTCTTTATTACTGATTTTAGAGAGAGGGAGAGATAGAAACATCAGTGTGTTGTTTCATTATTTATGCATTAATTGGTTGCCTCTTGTATGTGCCCTGACTGATGGGAGGGAAACCTTGGCCTGTGGGGACAATGCTCTAACCAGTGGAGCCACCCAGTCAGGGCCTGGAACTACCAATCTGCACTTCCTAATCCCTCCCCTTTTCACCCCCCCCATTCCCCTCCCTTCTGGCAACCATCAGTCTGTTCTCTGTGTGCCAGCGGATTTTAAAAATATATACTTTTTTCCTTCCCTGAGTTGGGGAAAGTAGAAGAGGGGCAGGTTTGAAGTGGGGAATGGCTCACTGGTAGCCCTGGCTGAGGTCCATAAAAATGTCATTCCAGGACAGGTGCGCTGGGGACACAGGTTTGGGAACCAGTGAAACAGAAAAGTGGGTTTAGAGCCTTGAAACTGGGCAGGCACCTGCGAAAGGAGCTCAGCGATGGAGCCTGAAAGGGATTTGCCACTGAGTCTTCCCCTGAGGGGCGCCCCCTGGGGACCTTCATGAGCCCCGGAGCCAGTCCCAGGCCCTGTGGCTGTCCACCTTTCAGAGAGGGAGGCTGGGCGGAGTGGAGGCACCAGCAGGCTGGCGGGTCCCCAGCCCGGAGCCTCCTGTGTCTTCGCATGCACGGAAGGGTCGTGGGTTTGATTCCTGGTCAGGGCACATACCCAGGTTGCAGGTTAGATCCCTGACTCGGGCGCGTACGGGAGGCAAGTGATCGATGTTTCTCTCTCTCCCTCCATCCCTCTCTCTAAAATCCATAAAAACACATCCTCAGGTGAGGACTAAAATAATAATAATAGAGAAGTCGCAAACCGAGCGAGCGCCGGGCGGCCGCGGGCACCACTGCCTCCACCACCCCCCCTCCCCGGGCCGGGAGCTGCATGCTGCATGGGGGAGTGCGGGCCACTCTTGGGAAGATGCCCCGGCCGGAGCTGCCCCTGCCAGAGGGCTGGGAGGAGGCACGGGACTTCGACAGCAAGGTCTACTACATAGACCACACGAGCCGCACCACCAGCTGGATGGACCCGCGGGACAGGTACACCAAACCGCTCACCTTCGCCGCCTGCATTAGCGATGAGCTGCCTCTAGGATGGGAAGAGGCGTATGACCCACGGGTTGGAGATTACTTCATAGACCACAACACCAAAACCACTCAGACTGAGGACCCCCGGGTACAGTGGCGGCGGGAGCAGGAGCACATGCTGAAGGATCACCTGGTGGTGGCCCGGGAGGCCCTGAGTGCACAGAAGATCTACCAGGTGAAGCGGCAGCGCCTGGAGCTTGCACAGCAGGAGTATCAGCAGCTGCATGCCGTCTGGGAGCGCAAGCTGGGCTCCCAGGTCAGCTTGGTCTCTGGTTCGTCGTCCAGCTCTAAGTATGACCCTGAGATCCTGAAAGCTGAAGTTGCCACTGCAAAATCCCGGGTCAACAAGCTGAAGAGGGAGATGGTTCACCTCCAGCAGGAGCTGCAGTTCAAAGAGCACGGCTTCCAGACCCTGCAGAAAATCGACAAGAAAATGTCTGACACTCAGGGCAGCTACAAACTGGATGGAGCTCAGGCTGTCTTGAGAGAAACGAAAGCCATCAAAAAGGCCATCACCTGTGGAGAAAAGGAAAAGCAAGATCTCATTAAGAGCCTTGCGATGCACCCTGGCCGGTTTGGCTCAGTGGATAGAGCATTGGCCTGGGGATTCAAGGGTCCCAGATTCGATTCCGGTCAAGGGCATGTACCTTGATTGTGGGGAGTGTGCAGGAGGCGGCTGATCGATGTTTCTCTCTCATTGATGTTTCTAACTCTCTATCCCTCTCCCTTCCTCTCTGTAAAAAATCAATAAAATATATTTAAAAAAAAAAAAGAGCCTTGCGATGCTGAAGGACGGCTTCCGGACCGACAGAAGGTCCCACTCTGACCTGTGGTCCAGCAGCAGCTCTCTAGAGAGTTCCGGTTTCTCGCTGGCAAAGCAGTACCTGGACATGAACTCCCAGACGGACATCTCGGGGAGTTTCGGTACCAGCAGCCACAATCAGTTGGCAGAGAAGGTCCGATTGCGCCTTCGGTACGAAGAGGCTAAGAGGAGGATCGCCAACCTGAAGATCCAGCTGGCCAAGCTGGACAGTGGGCCTGGCCTGGAGTGCTGGACTCGGAGAGGGACCGGCTGATCCTCATCGGTGAGAAGGAGGAGCTGCTGAAGGAGATGCGCTTCATCAGCCCTTCATCAGCAGGGCGAGGTGGAGCCGCTGGAGATGGCCCGCAAGCGGCTGGAGAAGGACCTGCAGGCAGCCCGGGACACCCAGAGCAAGGCGCTGACCGAGAGGTTGAAGTTAAACAGTAAGAGGAACCAGCTGGTGAGAGAACTGGAGGAAGCCACCCAGCAGGTGGCAGCTCTGCATTCCCAGCTGAAAAGCCTCTGGAGCAGCATGCAGTCCCTGTCCTCTGGCAGCAGCCCGGGCTCCCTGGCTGCCTCCAGCCTGGACTCCTCCACCTCCGCCAGCTTCACTGACCTCTACTATGACCCCGTCGAGCAGCTGGACTCGGAATTGCAGAGTAAGGTGGAGTTCCTGCTCCTGCTCCTGGAGGGGGCCACGGGCTTCCGGACCTCGGGCTACATCACCACCATCCACCAGGACGAGGTGGCCAAGACCCAGAGGGATGAGGGGGGCGGCCGCCTGCAGGCCCTGAGCTCCCTGACAGGCACCCTGAAGTCCATGACTTCTCTGTCTCCACACTCCTCCCTCTCCTCCCCATCCCCACCCTGCTCCCCTCTCATCGATGACCCCCTCCTGGCTGGAGACGCCTTCCTGAGCCCCCTAGAGTTTGAAGATCCGGAGCTGAGTGCCACTCTGTGAACTGAGCCTTGGCAGTGGCAGCGGGAGAGGTACCAGCTGGAGGAACCTGGAATGGAGGGCAAGCAGTTGGGCCAAGCTGTGAATACGGCCCAGGGGTGTAGCCTCAAAGTGGCGTGCGTCTCGGCTGCTGAGTCGGATGAATCCGTGGCCGGGGACAGTGGCGTGTATGAGGCTTCCGTGCAGAGAAGCGACCACACCTTCCCGGACAGAGCCCAGGTCGCTGCGAGGGATTCTGAGGCCTCTCTTTCCCGCGTGCCTTCCAGACTCGGTGCGTCAGAAGGCCCTGTGTTTGACAGTGAGGAGCCAGACGTGGTGAGAGCAACCCGGGTTCGGGTTGCCCTGCAGTATGACGAGAAGAATAAGCAGTTTGCAAGACTAATCGTCCAGCTGAGTAACCTCTCTGCCCTGTTGCTGCAGCAGGACCAGAAAGTGAGCATCCGTGTGGCCGTCCTTCCCTGCTCCGGAAGCACCACCTGCCAGTTCCGGACGGGCCTCGGACGCCTCGGATGCCCTCGTGTTCAATGAGGTGTTCCCGGTGTCCATGTCCTACCCAGCCCTTCACCAGAAGACCTTAAGAGCCGACGTCTGTACCACTGACCAGAGCCATCCGGAGGATTGCCTGGGAGGCGCCCAGATCAGCCTGGCTGAGGTGTGCCGGCCTGGGGAGAGGTCCACTCGCTGGTACAAC